CAGCGTGTCCAAAGGCCACAGCGAGGTCACCTCTGGGACCCGAGCGCAGTGCTCCCCCACGCAGGAGAGCCTTCCTGCTGCCGCCCGCTGTCAAGGGCAGGCCCCTCCCGCCACGTGCCCGGGTCCAGGCGTGACTCGGAGTGTCCCCACGCCCCCCGTGGCGGCGCACAGGTGAGCAGCCCAGGGAACAGGCAGGGTCCGACAGGCGGCCGAGCGCTGTCGTCGTTGGCTGTGCTGGATGCCAGCGCTGGAACCAGTGGCCAAAAGCCCCGGAGATTCGAGGTGGAGGTGGACGTGGTGCGAGGAGGGTCCCGCCCTGCTCCGTGCTTGTCTCAGGGTGCCTGCCAGTCGGCAGAGCCTCGCACACGAGGCCGCCGACCCTGCCTCGTGCCCGGCTGGCCTTGGCGCTTGCCGCTGTGAGTCCGGCCGGGCTGGGGTGCACCAGAGTGAGTACAGGACTAGAGGTGTCCGCCAAGTCCTCACCAACCTCCACGGGAGGACCATGTCAGTGGCTGGTGGGCAGGGGAGCCCTCACTCGAGCCGGGATGGCAGGCAGCCTTTTATTAATGACACAGTGACAGTAACGTCAATGATGGCTGCCACCCACTGCGGGCCTAACCGTCTCCTCTCCAGCGGGGCCGCTGGCTCTTGTCCCCAGGATTTCCGTGAGCACTTGTCAAGTTAAGGTGCCTGGTTTGTCCTGTCTGCCTGGCACCTTTCCCGTTTTAACCCTGAAAGTTCAACATTTTGGGAAAACCTCCCCGTCCCAGGCAAACTGGGAAGGCTGGTCACCCTCTTCTCAGCTGAGTCAAGGACAGAGGTGGCCGGGTGAGGGGATGAAGGACAGGCTTGGAGCCTTAGAATCCCCATAAATGCCAGCTTTGGGGTGTTAGATACGAACCATATAGAAGCGAGCCGGCCACGTACCCAGCCCAGCCCTGGGTGCCCAGCAGGTCCTGGGGAGGGTCAACCCCCCCCCACACACACACCCTCAGCCTGTTGGCGCCTCCCACCCCCTCCCAGGACCGAGCCCCCACCACACCCCACAGCTGCAGCCATCTTTACAAGTACGTTTTTATTGAAAATAAAAAAGGCATGATGCTTTCTTCCCCGTAATTAACAAACAGCCCCCCCCCTCCAAAAAAAAACGCTGCCGGTCCTACTTCGTGTGCAAAGTCTCAGCATGAAATCGACATCATGGGCTCCTGGGTGGACAGATGGGCGCCCACATGCCCACTGAGACAGAACGAGGCCAGGAGCCGGCTTCCAGTGTGCCCGGCACAGGTAGGAAGGCAGGTCGCAAATATTTACACTCATGCATTAGGAACCACGCAAGTCACACTGCACGGGTTCGTAGAGTACAGTAATTTTGCTTATATATTGGCATCTCTTTAAATATATATAACTATATATGTTTATATTTTTATAGCCACTAGTCTTTCTTCCAAAACTTGCTTTAGAACAGGGGTGGGGAACGAGCCAGTAAGGCCCGCAAAACCATTGGGTGTGGCCCTGCCAAGGCATCAGGGGTGAGTTAATTAAATGTTTGGCCACATAGAGCAGGCTCATTTTCACGTTGATGATTTTGGATGGCCTGTGAACGACGTTGTAAATATCCAAATGGCCCTGGGCGGGGAGAGGGGCGGGCGGGGAGAGGGGCGGGGACCTCCCACCCCTGACCTAGAAGCTCCTGCGTTAACACCTGAAGACTCTGGGAGGTCCTATCTGCCATTCTAAAGCTGGGCTCCGCCAGGCGACATGGCTGGAAAGATCTGTTTGAGAGAACGCAGAGAAGGAATGCGTCTCGTTCTCGGCCTCCACATCTGGAGGAGGCTGAGGACGGGTCTGTTTGGGAGCCACAGGCACGTTCCTGACGTAAAAGTTCTAAGCTCGATGCCAGGCTGGTGCGGCTGGATGGACGCTTGTCGCCTAAGCTAAGATCCGCGGGGCTCTCCCGCTGCACCCTGAGAGCTGTCTCCCAGACTGGCTCTTGGGTTGGGGATTCTCAAAAAAATCCTTAAAAAAAACCCTCTTCTCTTGTTTTCCCTGCACACCCCAGGGAAGAGATGTGACGAACCCAACTTGGGGGAATTTGCTCTCCACGGTTAGCTTTTCAGAGCTCTGGCTGTGTCCCCAGGAAGGAGACAGGGGCCCCCAAAGCCTGGTGGATGGTTCGCTGGGGGTCGGCAGATTAGACTAATTGCAAAATCTGGGCTTTTAGGTTTAAGTCAAGGTCAGGGAAGCTGGGATCAGTGGGTCTGCCTGCCCCCCTTGATCCTCTCCATGACCCCTTAGCCAGGATCCCCCGCTCTGGCCGAAGGTGCCCCTCCATCACTTCTGAGCTCAGGGTGGCATGTGCTCAGGGCCCAGGTCCTGCTAGTCATCTGCTCAGGGACCAGACAGGGGACTCAGAGGTGGTGCTGCCGGTGCGGGGAGTGCGCTGGAATGGGGTCTGCCTGCTGAGCACCCACATCCTCTGGCCTGTCTGTCACCCAGGGGTGCATCCCCGGGGAAAGTGATGGCATCCAGCAGGAGAACTGGGAAGTGCTCACCAGGCCGGGAGCAAGAATGAAGGCCACGGTGGCACCGTGCCATGCTGGGGTGTGCAGGGAAAGCAAAACCAAATCTAAACCCCAAGCAAATCCTCGCACAGAAGGGAAACTGGGAAGAAACAACCCTTCGTGGGATCCCCGGCCTATCCTCAGCCCGTCCCCGCTGACCTAGAGCAGGACAGGGTCAGGGTCAGGGTCAGAGCACACTCACCTCTGCCCTCTGCTCTCCCAAAGACAGCGAGCGGAACAGACAGCTCAGTGGGCACAGGACTCCGGCCAATGGGTGTGTCAAAGTTTAGCCCCAGTGGGAACTGGATTTCAGTCTGTCCGTCTCACCTCGATGTGAAGGTCTCACCTGCAGCCCCAAGCCCTCCACGGAACCACTGGTGGTTTGGGAGGTGGACTGGGTCCACCCGCGTCGCTGCCTGGCCAGACAGCGGGACCATTTAATGCGCCTGGTCCCTTCCTAGTGAGGGTGCGGTGGTGAGGGAACCGCGGGTCAGGGGCGCTCTCCCAATCCACCAGGGGATGCAAACCCACAGGGCCACTGGCTCCCCGGCCGAGTGATGTGCCCACAGGGGTGGGTGGCCTCCTGGGCAACAGGCCTGCAGGGTCCCTCGCCTGTCACCCCTTTCCTTCCCTTCATCCACCAACCACTGTGGAGGGTTCAGCACTTTTAGACCCTAAAGACCTCGGGAAAGAGACTCCAGGGAGCCACTGAGGCACGCCATCTCCTGGAAGAGGGGAGGCTCCGAGTCCCCGGTCAGGGCTGCAGGGGAGGAAGCATCGGGGAGAGCCAGCGCCAGGCCGCTCGGCCCCAGCCAGACGCCCCG